AGAGAATATAATACTAAAAAGGGGAAGGAAAGAAAATAAAAACAATAAAACACAAGTGATGCACAATACAATTGCTCACCACCCACCAACCAATACCCAGCCCAACCAGAGCAGCGATCGGTTCCTTCTGAGTAACTCCCCCCAGTTTATATACTGGGCATGACGTGCTGTGGTATGGAATAGCCCTTTGGCCAGTTTGGGTCACGTGTCCTGTCCCTGCTTCCTCCCTCACGGCTTCTTGCACCCCTCCTCACTGGCAGAGCATGAGAATGAAAAGTCCTTGATCAGAGTAAGCGCAGCTGAGCAACAACTAAAAACATCAGTGTTATCAGCACTGTTCTCAGGCTAAAGCCAAAACACAGCACTGCACCAGCTATTAAGAAGGAAAAAAATAACTGTTACAGCTGAACCCAGGGCTAAAGGTTAGACCTATTCTGCAGCAGAGATCCTCTACAGCAAGTCTTGACAGGACAGCTCTGACAGACCACCAGATCCAGCGGGAAGAATACACGTATCTTGTAAGTTAGTAGATAAAAACTGGAGCTGACTCACCCATATACTAGTTTCTACTGCACTCAAATAGCACCTGGCAATGTCTTCCATTTTTTGAATAAGGTTATTCTGAACCACCAACAGATAATAATCTCATCAGTCCTTCAATTACTTTGGTACAGTGACCACATGACCTAGATATAAATTTGTGCTTACAGTCCTGCTGTATTATATTCAGACAGCACGGTCTTAAAGCAGCCTTACCAAGAAACGTCTGAGTCCCTGTCCTCAGTTACCATATCCAGGACATGGCTATCTGGTCTGAGTCCTGCTGGATCTATAATACCTGTATCTGAGTCCTGCTGGAATATAATAACCATATCTTGCTTTTACTGCAGAACACAATAAAAACAGGTCAGCAGGACAACTTGCACAGAACACATGGCTATTTCTGCTCCACACAGACAGGAGTAGGGTCAGAGAAAGGTTGGGATCTCTAATGACATCTATTTTCAGTTAAGATTCTCAAGCCTTACAGATTCTTTAGGAAAAAATATTTGCAGATGGCCCATCAATCTGTGCTCTGCTCCCCTCCCCCCCTCTCACAAACACACAGAGCATCTGCTGTACTATTGTTTAACAGCACTGCAGCTTTGCACGAAGGCTGGGTCTCAAAACCTGGAGATTTGTGTGCAGACGGAGGCAGAACTGTGGTTCTGGACATACCAACTTAATGCTGGTCCCAAGGCAAATAACATCCATGCTCTCCACAGTTTCTCCATAAGCAGCAAAATATAGACAGTGAAACACTAGGGCTGCAAAACCATGTAATTCAGTTCAGTGGGATTTCTTATTGTTACAAATAAGGGTATAAAGAACCATAGATGCCAATATACAAAAACTGACAACAATGCTCTACCTTCAGATAGGTTTTAAAGGTACAACAAATACTTTCAAAGTTTGCGTATACTCAGAATATATCCAGAAACTAATTTAACTGTTATTACACTCTTGATTTGTTAAAGACTCTCTTAAGTGCAATTTAAGTTTGTAGCATAAATGTTAGTCAGGTATGCCATGAAACAGTGCTTCAGAATTTCGTCTATTCTCACCAGATTTCCCTAAGAAATGATATTCCCTCCCATCTCTGCATTGTCAAAATAAGTAATCAGCTGGGGAGAACCACAGACGGAGTGTAAGACTCAGTCTAACTACCAGCTCTGCAAGCATGGAAGTGACAGCAACATAAAGAGATCAATCCCACAGTCAGCTCTGTGCACGCTTGCGTAATTCCAAGAATAACCTCCTTTCAAATGCCACATGCCTTGTGGAACACAGAAAATGCATTTAATTTCTCAAAGACGTAGGACGTCTTCATGAACAAGTTGGACACTGCCTTCAAGAGACAGTAGAGAATTTTTCAAGTTACTTATCCCATGTTACTTTCTTAGACAAGCCAGGAGCTCCACCCTACTTATTCAAGGCATGTCAGGACACAGAAGTCCTCATGCAGCCATCAATGAGAATAACTTCTGCATCCATGTGACGTCTCAAAGTCAGTAACAGTTCGTGTAAAGCCTGTATGCTTCTTGATACAAGATTGGGGCCCACTTAAAATCCTCCTCTTTCATCAACATTGTGTTTGTATAGCACAGAAATCTTTCCTCTTGTTATACTGCTAGGATAAGCTGCATATATAAGCTCAATTACTGGTTGGTAAAGGGATATTCCAAATTAAACACCACAATTACAGCCAAAAAGCTCTCTTATTCAATGTTATTAAGCTACTCCAGCCTACAGGCAATTCCTTAAGACAAGACATACACTGCTGTTTCACTGCACCTAAAATCATAATCAAATCATTAAATACAATGGTATATGTTTATATGGACATACGGACAATGAAGAAAGCTTTGTACACTTCTATATTTTGTACACAAACACATTAAGTCTCTGGAAAGACTTAGCAGAGAGTTCCAGTAAGAGCACATCCTCTTACTGTAAGGCAATCTCAACTCAGCCCTATGATGGAAGTCAAGTAATACACCATACTAAGTCATACCAGACTTTGGAAACACAGAACATGACTGCATTTTCCATGCTATAGCAGGACATGTTCTGCAGCACACAGAGAACTAGGCATACATGGCTCTTCTACCATCTCTCAATGGAAACACTGTCATTCCGAACAAATTAAACCATGATTATTCTGTAGGTACTCAATTTCTCATAATGCACAGTTCTTGGGATTATGCATAACATGTTCAGCTTGTCACCTGCAGCTGGCTGAACACTCATAACCCACAGAGATCAACTGATCTGATTCAGGCAGACCCTGCCATGTCTGCTTTAGTCTCACTTCCACCCAGCCCACATGCTTTGCACTGTGAAAGTATCATTTACCCATTTTGTGCAGAGCTATTGTGCGTTTCTGAGTCATCACTGTCACTGATGACAATTGTGTCTCCGTCAGTGCTGCTGGCGTGGCCATTTGCCATTCCATTGTGATGGGCAGGAGCTATGACTTCCAAAATCTTACACTGCAACCTGAAATAAAACACAGACATTTATTACCATCGAAGTTTTTCACTAGTGAAAGGAGTCTAAAATTGTAGATGTTATTTTAAGAATACATATACAACTAAACATTGTATTGTCTACTAAATAAATTCTTAAGAGCCTTGCACCAAAATACCAGGTAAAATATTAATTCAGTGAGTTCCATCTAATAAACGAACAATTTCATCTGCTTACACAGCTATCAGCTTAACTAGTCAAGACAAGAAATCAAGTCACTGCTAGAATCATTTATGGTTGTATTTTTTTTTTTCCAGTTCTCACTTAAGTAAACTAAAAAGTTAACTTTATGTGTTTCTTTAAAACTAGACACCAAATCCTTCACATTTATTTTGAAAGCAGTCTATGAAAGCAAAAGATTTTCAGATCCCAAAGTATTTTTACTTCTAAGAGATCATCTTCTACTGCTGTCAATGACCTAAATAAACAAGGCTGAAATGATCATTATGCATCTAATCTTAATAATGGCCCATTTATCTGCTGACACATACTAAGGCTCCATCTGGCATGCACACAATTGACAAAACAAGTCTATCCCTTCACCATCCTGAATGCTAGTTAGAAAAGGCAGAATTAACTGCATATTAAAAAGTATAATTAATCGACGCTTCATGCTGAAAAACTGTATTATAGCTGGTTCTTGAACACTAACTTTCATCCCTTTCTGGAATTCCAGGGTACATATTTTTTAGTTTAATCTCCTAAAGCCTTGTCTGCTTCATGAAAACTAACTATTACAGTCAATGAATGCTGTCACATATTACCACTAAAAGCTCAAAGAATGGGGAGAGAAAGAACACAGTGGTTCTCTTCTCTGGGCACCAAACACCGCCAATAGAAATGAAGAACATGGAGAATACATGAAGCTCAGGGCTTGAATTAGTGTGGCATCATGCCCAAATCAGAAACAAACAAACAAAAAAAAATGCCAACAAATCTATGACAGGCAAACTCTAAGTGTTCTTCTATCCAAACACGGGCAAAAAGGAAACAAGGCCAAAATATTTCTTAGACACCTATTTCTGCAAGCAGACAGTACCTTCCAAAACCTGCAGACATTGGGGTGGGGGTGGGAGGGTGGGGGTGTGAGAGGGATGAGGAGGGAAGGAAGGGGAGCAGAGGGAGAAAAGTTGAAAACATTAAAATATCCTGTGTCATATTCACTTGTGAATTTAGCTAGGACCAGTAACACAGTTGGTGCACATAGCTAACCTCCTCAAGCCTCTCTCCAACAGGAACAGAGCTCCAGGATGCTCCGATGGGGTATGTTATTTAAAAAAAACCAAACAAACAAAAAAAAATCCCCAAACAACTACTAATATCCTTATATTCCTAAAGACAACAATATGATCATGGGGACACTGTGAGGCAGCCCAAACCCACTGGCCTTGCTGACCACAGGCACACTGCGATTCCAATGCAGCCAGTTTCCGAAGCTGGTCTGGGGCTGGAAGACACATTTTCCTGGTGAAGGGAGCCCAACCTAATTAGCTGTGCAAAAATAAATAGACTCCGTGAACAGAACCAAGAGCACCCAAGTATGTAATGGAGACAGAGCCTCATGGATGTTTACAAAATCAGTCCGAGTCCAACAGGGCTTATTAACGTCTGGCCCAGGACCAGACTTTGGCTGAGTCCTAGGAGAAAAGTCTATCATTACAGTATCTTGGTTTTCCAGTATTCAGAACATCACAGCTTCCCTTTCATATTAAATAATATGAAGCTGACTGCACGGCAGAATGTGTATCATTAGGCTGGGTTTTTTTAAATCCAACAAAGATCACCTGCTAAAAAATCCAATTCTTAGTAGAACTGGTTTTGTTTCATATTATAAAATACATTTCCTAGGAAGTTCAACTTTAAAAACACTTTAAAATTAATTTCTAATAGAAAGTAATCAAAAGCACCAACGCTTAAGGCTACTGACACTTCTTCAATTGTATTCACTATCTGACGACCACTAGAGGGAGCGCATATACACTAAATTTGCAATCACAGTAAAACAGCCACATAAAGGCTAAATCGGAACCTATGCTACCCAATGCCATGAAAGGACAAAGAGGCTGAAGCACACACACACGAATGAATCCTCCTGGACAAAAAGATCTGAGTATTTAGCCTCCAACTGTTTTTCCAACGCTTAATTTACCTGCTTATCCACTGGACAGCCCTGTAATTTACAGGGTATTCTATCTCCTTCTGTGAGAACCAAAGTTAAATATTCTATACACTCGATTCAGTAAGTAGCAAAATCCCCAATAGAGCTACTCCTCCCCCCTCCCCCGCCTTTTTATTACTAAACAGGAAGAATGACTAATGGAACCAGCTATCACAGAAAGCAAGTGATTCTCCATCCTCTATGCCTTCATTCAAATCATTAACATAAATCTTTGGGGAAGGAATCAAGTGAAACACACATTACCTGGCTCAATAAAAATGCAATTCAATGAAATTTAATGGTTACTAATAGACAGCAGATTGAAGAAAGTGATTCAACCCTTCCTTCTGGCATTAAAGAAATAACCTACAAATGAAGACTTTTTTTAGCCTTGCTACAGTCAAGTCATGGCTAGTAGCAGCAAATTCCCTGGGCTAAGAGCAACAGCCACTCTGCCTCTAGTGTGAACAAAAGTCTCCTTTCCTCAATTACCTACATTCCCCAAGTTCACTTACTACAATTCTTCTTCTATTAGGCACACAAAACAGCAGAGATGAAAGCTGAAGCAACACACTCAAATGAAGCATGCTACTTAAAATACATTCTAAAAAGGATGCCTTAAGATCTTGACAGAGCTCATGTCAAAGTCAAACCATGCTCACTTACCATTTCCCATTAAAAAAAGAACTGGGGGCACTTGAATCTAAACAGACAGCAGTATTAAATTAAATACATAATCTAGTATCCCCCTCAGTCAGGAAGCACTTTCTTCAAACAATAAGATTGTGCAGAAACTTAGAGCCACATTAACTGAATCCCACAGGTATTCAGGAAATGATCAGATAAATTGAAAATAGAGCTATCATGAATTTTACACAATAGTCCCAACAACTCTAGATGAGACACTGACAGCCAAAAGCTAGAGGAGTACACCTGCAACAGGATTACTCTATACTCAAGCAGTTTTGCATGCATCTTTCTGCACTACAAGCTGCTAGCAACAACAGGGTACATGTCCTCTGACCTGTCCCAAGGATGGCCTTTATGCTTACAGTTTTATTTCTTGCTATACTCAGAAACAAAGCTCTTTGAGGTCTTTTCATGTTATGGGAAAGGTTTCAAGAAGGGTTTGGCCTATATTATTAAGGGGAGAGGGGAAATATGTTGAAGAACAACAACACAGGAACCCCTAAAAGTTTCAAACGCAAAGCCAGAGGAGGTATCACCAATATCAAAGTAATTTTTTTTAAAGTAGCAGGGCATATCTTTCTCAAATGAAAAAAACAAAACAACAAAAAACAAAAAAATCCACAACACCCTAAAAAAACCAAAAAACAAACCAAAAAAACCCCCACCACATGAGATTTTCCATCGACTTCCATGAACTTTGGGTATGGCTGGTGAGCCGCACAAGTGAAAGAACATAACTGATTGCAGCCATCTAAGGGCAAGAGACACTGACTGGAGACTGTGACACAAGACACAGATTCTCTGGAAATGTAACTCCATCAGTGTCTCTCTAAAACAATAATTCTGGTCTCTGCTTTGAAGAGCAGCTTGACACAACTAGCAGAAAACTTTAAGTGTGACTGAACCTTGTCACTGCCAGAAGAACGGTAAGGAAGCAGCAGGGTGAAGGTGTACAAAAGCAAACTGTTCCTGCAGCCTCTGGCTGCTGCTCCACAAGATGCAGAGGTGACTTAATAGTTCAACACCACCAAAATCTTCCTTTGCCATTCCTCCTTCCAGCCACATACTTGGTGCAGTGCTTGCTTTTTGTAGCTCAGGCACTCTGTGTCATTTTGGTTGTCATTAAATTGAATTCAATTACCTGATAAAAAACCCCAAACAAAAAAACACCACCACCACCATCCCCCCCCCAAAAAAGCCCAAAGACCCAAATCATATCAGCTGTCACATCAGCTACCTCAGGTGGCTCACCGAATGATCTGACGAGAACTAAGCATGTACAAGAGGCAAATATTGGCCACAGACAAAAGCAGAGAAGGAAGGAAGAAGTAGTAAGACCTGTAAGACCTCATTTCATTTAGAAACCCTGACACTTCCAACTTCTTGAGTAGCTCGGTGACTTCAGCAGTTTATCCTTACTAACTGAAAAGTGACACCTAGGCAAGTGAACACTGGAATACCAGGAAAGCCTGTTCCAGGTGAACCACACACCTAACATGTAGTTGGGCAAGACATGGTACATGCTTCAAACTCACCAGCAGTCCAAGTTGAGAGCGATTCAGGAAAACCCAGAACAAAGGATAAGCGTAACTTTCTTGTCATATTTCTCTTTCATTCAGCTCAGCAACTCAAAAGCATGTACACAAGCTATTACAAGTTACAGGTCAAGCAGGTATCTCCATCTATCTCTGCTGAAGCAGTAACATCACAATTTGAAGATAAAGAAAAGATGCACTCCATTCCAACGGTCCAAAACCAACCATCACAGGATGATGAGTGGAAACCTTGACCCTGATATTATTGGCACTTTCACTTACTCAGAAGTTCTTCCCAAATGTTGAGTAGGCCCCTTCACATCCAACCAAGGCTGAAGTTACAAGCTGTGAGAAGGGAGACCACTGCCCATCAACTGAGAGTTCTGCACAACACCTTTTGTCTGGCTGGTGCTAACTACTGTGCTATAATAGTCTGGCACTCTGCTATGTCCTCATTTCAAGTCAAAAACCAAGATCCCTTGAAGGCCCAGGTGAGTTACAAACATGCCTCTATGCTTTACAGTAAGCAGACAAAAAAACCATCCTTTGGATGCAGAAGGCTGTTTCAAATGGGGTGGTGGGGGAAT